TAATCCAGGGTTATTACTATGTTCGTTTATTGATCGCTCTTTGTTCATGAGTAGACGAGCAAGGAACAGTATAGGTGAATTGCGGTAATCCTTAATTCGAGATGAAATTTGACGGAGCGTGTTGAATTATGGCAACGACCGCGTGTCGGTTCGCGTGCAATTGGTTGTGAGGATATGTGGGAATCCTCTCAGAAAATTTCACACAGGAAGTTGCTTGATACTCTGAACGCTCTAAAGCTAACCCATAGGAATACAAGAGACGCGACTAATAATGGTTAGACCGCGTCGTAAGACTTTGAAGTGCTGTTTGAGTAAACCAGGAAAAATAACCGGGGAACAGTAGACTAAGATGGGGAAAACACATTGATAAACAAAAGTAGAAATAACTGACTGGGATGCGCGAAACTGCCTGAGCTTTCGTATTTGAAATGAAAGGCGTCGCAGGTTACCAATGCAGTTGTGGATGTGGGTTGACCAATGAAGATTGCTATCTATGGTTACACCAAGATATTTGACAGAGTTCACCCTGGATAAAGGGTTGTTATTAATCACTGTGGGGTCTGTCGGATATGGAGATCGAGCAAAACTGTATACACACTCAACACATTTACTGGGGTCTAGGTTTAGCCCAGATGCGGAGGAGGATGATTGAATTTGATCAAGACTGTCGATTAAGGAGCTTAGGTCAGAGTAGGGTGAAATTGGTTGGCACAACACGACATCATCTGCATATTTCAAAATTCGTGCGGGAGAAGCACAGGGAATATCACAAATATAAGTGGCAAATAAGTATGGGGATAGCACAGCTCCTTGAGGAACTTCGAAGTTGTTGACTAAATGTTGAAATGGAGACTTCCCACTCCAGTGGTTTTTACCCTATCAGTAAATTAGTTGGATAACCAAGCTGACAACTGCTTGGGACATTCAAACGATTCCGGGTTTTGTAACAACTTAAATCGAGGAATGGAATCAAATGCAGAAGAGTAGTCGAGAAAAACACACCGAACAGACTTAACAGAGCTGTTCAACGATTTAGTGATGAAATGAATGAGGATAGAGACTGCGTCCAGGGTGGATCTATTTGGCTTGTAAGCAAACTGTAACGGATCACTGGGAATGTTTATGAACTGCTGAAGGCGTTTGAGGATGGCCTTTTCAGTCAATTTAAGAGCTGAAGATGTTAATGCTATGAGACGAAAACGTTTGGAGAGGATAGAGGATTTGGATGCTTTGGGGACTGATATGATTGTGACCGGTCTCCAACAGTCGGGGATAGTAGAAGTGTAAAGAGGTTCATTTACAATAAAGGTAGTTACCCCCCCCAGCAGCACCAAATTTGAAGAGGGCTGGATGTAAGTCATTCGGGCATGCAGCAGAAGACGACTTGCAACTTTTTAAAAGTTTTAACACATCACAGTATGAGAGTGGTTCCATGTTACAAACATTTTGTGACGAGTGGGCAGGAAGAATGTCCGATGATTGGCGCAGGAATGCGGCATTGAGATCATCAGCGTCCACATCTACGTTCGACCGTACTTTCTTCCTTCCACAGAGAAGTCTTATACCTTGCCACAGTTGTTTTTCTGTTTCCAGTCCTCGGAAATCGATCAGAGAATACTGCGTTCATTCTGTTTACTTCGGCTTTGATAATCCTGGACAATTACATGATAGTTGAAGCATTGAGACCTTTATGCACGTATTTTTTGTCGTCCCAGCGACTTTGGTAGGTAGAGTTTCCGTCGGACACATAAAGGCTTTGAACGGCGCGGCAGTAATTATAAATGGCATTGATTGTCTGAGTGGACAAGGGGGACACGTGAATAGAGAAGAAGAAGGGGATGAAAACCATAAAGAGGCCTGTCTGAGAGATTCATTTAGGAGAGAAACACTTGTGGGTGATAAGTTACTTTAAATAAATCTGATATGCTCAGATCAGGAGAAAGATTGGTATGCACTATGTGAATAGTCTTAAGGTCGAACTAAGCATTGCTCACTGGAGGGAGAAGGTGCTTTTAGTGATAAAGAAAAAAAGGATTAGGTGGTTGGTAATTACTCTGTTCAGAATCGAAATATTTCTCGTGGGAGTGTGACAAAGATCTGTCATACTCAATGATAAAAGTGGATAAGTACTAATATGGTTGGAGTCGCCAACGATTATGTGAAAGTTGACATCTAAAAAGGAGGAAATATAAGGTATGAACTAGACGCAAAATGACACGAGCGAAACTGTACAATTAGGAGCTATATACCAGCTAGTCAAAATTGTCTTATAAAATCTAGGGTGACACTGTATATACAGGCACTCAGTACCTTTGAACGGTACTGAAAAATTAACATGAGACTCGCCACACCAGGAAACGGTTCCACGATCCTGTCGGTAAACTGGAAAACCTTCTATTGACGCTAGGGAGTCATCTACATCCTTTTTCAACCTGGATTCTTTAACACAGATAGCACACGTGTTCGTATGAATTCTTGACTGGAGGACACTAGTTGATTGCGACATTTTTGGGAAACAAGCACCGAGTGCTGGTGCTGACCATTGAAGGGACAGTCATTTTGGACGAAGGGGTGCAATTAAGGACAACTTGCCATCCTGCACGCTTGCGTTTTTTTGTCAAGCCTGGACAGTGCGAAACTGGAGTCGCACAAACCGCTGAACCATCGAAGCATATTCTGGCAAGTTTGAAACATAATATCTTCCTATGAGCAACGACGACGTATGATAGTGAGTGAAAATTTTCACAATGTGACGGAGAGTGTGAAAGTGTAGCGCAGCCATCCGAAAGGCGCGCCAGAATCTCTAGCCTTTGCACATCCAATTGCAGACTGCAAGGCAGCAGGAAGGTAGCACATGGTTGCCCTTGGCCCTCTTTTGGGAGCTGATGCACCATTTGTTGTTGCTAGCTGAATAGGGATCCATGCATCCCTGATGAGAACGGAGTGATTGCCTCGATCGTTGAATGGTGAACCGGACTCCGTCCGCCCAACACCTACGTTAGACACTGACTTGCCGGTTGGCCTTAAGCTGGTTCCGTCCGCCTGTTGAGCGGTTTACCGGGCTGTGGCCGCTGTTGCATCCAAATAGCCTGGAGCCACAGGTGAGAGCTGGATGCCAGGTAGAGACCAAAGAACGGCGGATGCCCCAAAGGGATCAACAACCCTCCGAGTCAGAAGTACTACTCTAACCATTAGTTGTCTCTTCGAGAATCTGACAATGAGATGTACAAGATCTCCTGAAATACCTGTGTAAACATGACATGAGCTTGAGATTTCGAAAGGATATGCTCGAAAGCCAATATAAGAACGTTCCAGGGCAAAGGGGACCAAAAGGTTAAGTAGATTGGTGACTCACAACTCACACATTCCACGAATTCTCAAGGTTTTTCAATAGTTTCTTTTTGGTTTATTTTAATCTTTCATAAATCATGGCCGAATTTCAGACAACTTTTGGACTACCTGACATTTCTTATTCGACGGTACACATGAATCTATCAGTATTTTTTTAGTAGATTGGATAGAGATAAAATCAATCATTTGGGCAGAAATAAGCGATGCATGTTTTACCTGCAGGAAGGTGCTCAATCCTGAATCGGTGAAACCGTGGTCGAACCTACTTTCACCAACAAACCGTTCTAGAAGAAACCATATTTTTTCCTTGCCGCTTGCGTTGATTATCAAGCCTAATCAATTCAAAAATATTCACTTGTCGAGCACGCCGACGGTAACATGTTTAGTATTCCCAAACATACGATCACCCCTCTGAAATTTAGCACTTAGTCCTTGAAATTGGGGATATCTACTGTAACTTCAGGAGCAATATTTTGGTTATGTATGTATGAATCCTGAGAACGAATGATTTGTCTCCTCAAAATCCAACACAACCTGATCGATGATTTCATCATTACTTATTGTCTTAGAGTGTATCGTTCACTCGTATGCACGTTAGTGCGACAGAGCCCATCGATAGAGCGAATGGCCATGGCTTTAATGGCCACTGTTTCCAGTTTCACTTTCTACAAACACTTTTGTTCCCCCGGTTCTGTTTACAGTCTTTTGTCTTCCCATAACATAACTGAACATATTCGAGTGCTCCACAAAAGTGCAAAAGACTTTATAGATTATAAAGGTGTATTTATAGCAAAATCATAAATAGTCGTTTATCTCAGATTGGCTCTCCTTTGGAAATCAACAAACGCGCAGCTTAAATCAATTGTACACTCCAACAATCGACCCGAACTCCGAGCATTAGCCAAGGCAAACAGCTTCAACTGATCCAATAAATTCTGTATCTCTTTTATATAACCCACTTCATCATCAAGTTCTTATCAGGCGATTTCTTCTTCAAAAAGACAGTCATCAATGGACACCTAAGGAGTGAAGTCCTCGATCAAATCGCATTTATTCTCTGGTGGTTGTATCACTAGCGAAATCAATGTTGAATCGAACCCAGCTTTCATGAAGGCGTTGATCAGTACGTGCGGATGCACAGACATTCAAGCTTTCTTTTGTATTCTGTATTTGCAAAACTTGTGTAAGCATACATGCTTACGTTTGACCATATGCATGGCCACGAGAATGTCCACCTCGGCTTTCATGATAGGTTGCTTATCACAATCGGTGATAACTTTTCTCCCACAAAGAAGTAACGTGACCCTCTCTTTGGATTTCTTGGATCCGTAAATTGTCTTTCCTTTTAGACTTAATGTTCTTTCTGAGAGCTGCCTGTAACACAAAGCTGTTTCATCTACGTTGACAATATCGCAGTCAGTATATCCATGTATCAACTGCGGTAAGCTCGAAACTCGTCCTCTGCATCACGTGGTACCGCTAAACTTTACCCACAGACCTATAAAGTTTTGCAAATGAGTTGCTTGTTTCTTATTTTGTACGACTGAATACCATATCTGTCTGAACAAGAGCGAAATCAACCTTTGGAAACCTTGAAGTCATTATGACACAATCTTTGAGCTAGCTGGATTGCCTTTTTACGTACGGTGCTCTCCATCACTGGAAGCTCTCCGTGCTTTTCCCTCATAGCAGTGAACCAAGCCAAAGTTGCCTCATTCACTACCTTGAACTTTTCGTTGGTTTTCAGGCGGCATCTTTCCTCAGATGCTCCAGCGTTCAAAAATTCCCCGATAGTCGTTCGATGGGATACAACGTTGTAGACAGTTTTTTGTGAAATTCCAAGTGACTTGGCTACGGAGCTGTGAGGTGCACCTAGATGTTCCAGCATTTCTAAGACAATCTGCTTCTCTCTGATCGATAAGCGATTGCACATTTTGAGGTCAAATGACACTGTCTCCGATCACTTGAATCGGTGTGACTTCCTCGAAATGATTATTCAATCAGTGAACAGCGCCATGAACGCGTCACACTAGATACAACGCCATTGATTAAGTGCGACATTTCAGGGTGGATGGTCAATGTTTGTCCCGAACATCGGTCATCGACCAAGTGAGTACGTATCAGGAACTGCGACATATTGGGGGAGGGTGGGTGCGACATCGCATAATCAGAAACTACGCTTTTAGTGATGCGATTGGTTCGGGTTTATGAAAAGTGTGTAGATAGTGGAAAATGCGACTTCTCAGGGGTGCGACATAGCAGGAGATTGACTGTATGTTACTGTGGTGAAAATTTCAATAGCCTCAGTGAGATTCTTACACAAGCATGGAGGCCGCCCTACGTTTTGGCACGGCGGCTTCGAATGTGAAAAGACCAGTGCTACCGGTGTAGCCTTAGAGCTCAGCTGGTAGAGCGTGCGCTGTACGAAAGCGCAGGCGGCGTTCATTTGTGGGTTTGAATCCCATCGAGGTTACTGACATGCGACATGACTTAAGTTTGCCAAACAATTTGAAGTTTGGTAACTATTTCAGTTAATTATGAGTAGCAAGAAAATCTTTGAGTAAATGCTTTTGTCTGAGACAATAGTTTTGGATGACGACACTCAGCCTCAGTTGATGCCATCCGCATTTCATTTGGTGAAAGCCGGCCTAAATAAATATAGTGCAAGATATTTCAGGACTGGAATCCAACGTGAGCACACCATCATTCACAAAGCCGTGAAATACCCAACGGCCTGATCTCAGTCAATGTATGTATTATTAATAATCTTGTTTGCAACACCGTGTGACTATACTCGCAATGATGCTTCAATGGGCTGGCTCTGAAAATGCTGTCGATCTAAAAGTCGCCCGGTGTTGCAAACAAGGTTACTGTGACGATAGAACACTACCTGTTTACGAGTATATGATTGAACTGACCAAACATTACCGGATACGCGTGCCTGATGAGCGGAAAGAACCGCGAAATCAGTCATCTGCTTCTAGGGAAATTTTGTCCAGTCATTCAAAAGTACTCATTATGGTATATAAATATGTGTGCGTGTGTGCTTCGTCTAGAATACTTTCGAGAACGTTACGTAATATCTTCACTTGTTACTGTTTATGGTCGATGCCTTGCGGGTCAGACTTTTGAGTCAAAGGCTCCGGTTAGGGTTCCGAAAGAAAACCCTCCTTCGTTGGTATGGGCTGGGGCGAAGTATGTCATGCCCAAAAGTCTTAGGCAATCATTTGGGAAACGATTCTCCCCATCTGTCTAGACCTTCTTCTCAATCCCAAACCTCATGAGATGCATCCTGTTTACACCACCCATGGGATATCACTCCGAGTCTAACTAATGAGGTCAACCACTCAGACGCTAACAGATTTTTGAAACCAAAATCCCCTTTTCACTTAGCTGCACCCAATGTCCGCACGTTCTACCAGATCGGTCAACAAGCTGCCTTGTCTAGAACCCTTGAAATCTTTCATTTATATGCACGCTGTGTCTCTGTAACACCCTACTTTAATCAACTCCCTCCGTTCTCCAGATCCGACTTTTTCCTCACGCTACACTCTCTGTGTGTCAGGTGATTCGGAATCCAAAGCTAGCGGTGTTGCTAGCGTTTGGATAGCGCTGAGTTTCAAGGCCGAGAATTCACTTCTCGACCGGATCCCGGTTAGCTGCCGACTTTGCGCGTTACGTCTGGATGGTTCAGTACGAGTCAACAGCTACAGAACAATACTTCGATGTTTATTCGTCGTATCCGCGTATGCACCGACTGATTGCATTTCGCCAGAAGTGAAGGATGAATTCTACGAGGATCTCTCCCAACTGCTCCAAAATGCTCGGTCAACGGATATCGTGGTAGTCACTAGAGACTTCTGTGCTCAAATAGGATCCCTGGACGAATCAGTAAGGTTACTTGGTGGTTCACATGCAATTCCAGTTAAACGGACTGACAACGGAGAACTCCTACACCAACTTTGCGCTGACCGCGGGTTGTTTTTGTTAAGCACGAACTTCTCGCACAAGAAACGGTACCGCCTTACAGGGAGACCGCCAACGGCGCTGTACTCAAATCAACCACATCACCATCAGCCACCTCTGGCGAGGATCCATTGAAGACTGCCGCCCCTACTGGCTAACACCCATGGGCACGGACCATGCTCTGCTACGAGGGAGATTCTCTCTACGTCTAGTAAACAAACGCAGAAAAGCCACCGAAAACGGATGCCCACAATGCAGTGTTAGCAATGGTTGCCAATCGGCCTTCGAAGCAGAACTATCAGATCGTCTCTCAGCACAAACATCAGCCGGAGGACTCAGTGGGCACTGGACGGCAATCAAGGAGGCGATCAAAACGTCGATGAAAACAACAGCAAAGTTCGGCACACGGTCAAATAAATAAACGATGGGTCTCTTCGGTTGCCCTACTTTAAGCTCGCAAAGCCATTCCTTCGGATTCAAAGTGTGACATAGCTCGCAAGTTCCCTAAACGCCAGCTCATCAAGAATCTGAGGAATGACCGCGAGAAGTGGTGGATAGGAAACTTTAGAGAGAGGGAGAAGACTGCGGTTATCGGTAATAGTCGCAATCTTTTTCGTTTAATTAGGAGTACTGGTCCAAGGGAAGCAGGCGTGAGGTAATTAGTTAGTCCGACGGCACACTGATCCATAATCAGAAATGCCGTCCAGATCGATGGGCAGAACATCTTAAGGCTCAGTATAGCTGGCCCTCGTCAGCACGAGACCTCCCTACGCCCGATTCAACCGTGTAAATACTGTCAGTTGACATCAGCCCTCCATCTATACTAGAGGTTACCCGATAAATAAACTATCTCAAAAGCTATAAAGCTTCCGGCCCCGACGGGCTGCTCCCATCGGTCCTTAAGGGTGGAGGCTCAGCCTTGGTTTTGGAGTTAACAAAACTCCTGAGTTCAGTGTGAGTAAAGGAACAGGTTCCAACTGAATGGTGTGAATCCGTAATCATACCGATTTACAATAAGGGCGACAGGTCCTCTTGTGAAAATCACAAACGAATTAGTTTAATTAACATTGCCTCTAAACTTCTCGCCGGCATCATACTCCGACGATTGTCTGCCGCTCGTGAAGAGTGCACGCGTGAGAACTAGGTTAGTTTTTGACCTGGTCGAGGTTATATCGACCACATCTTTACTCTTTGCTCAAATGTGCAAATGCGCCTCAAAATATGAGGAAAAAACAATGAGGACAACTATCTGACTGTCTGTGCAAGGGTGATAGTCGTGCAAATTGAAGTGAAACTTCCCTCCACACTAAATTGCGTAATGAATACAAAAGTCCTTTCGATAAGTTGGGATGATTCAGAAACTTGTGGGTTAGTCACAAACAAGAATTTTTCACAGACAACAAAACGAAATGCTTCATTTTAGTGATCTATTCATAATGCTCCTTTGCGCTTGCGCGTTCAGATTTCATTATACTTTGCATGCAGTGCAGTGGTAATAATAATGAATTGTTTTGACGTTTCTTCTCGATTGCAGGGCTTCTGTCCTTTACGTCAGTTACCGCGGTATAACGTCCACGGAAATGCTTTAGACGCCTTTCAGATTGGTGATAAAGTGCGCGGTAAGTTTATTCCGTCCATTTTCGCACGCTTGAAAAGGTTGCTAGTTTTCAAAGAGAATTGATTGAGGGAAATAGAGACTACTGTTTATTGCGACCTGTTTCGGTCTGCGTAAGCGGTACAAATCCAAGTCCCCTCGTTGTATTTGGAACTGGCTCTTGAAAATCGGATACCTACCGGGTGCTGTCACTCTACCATTACGAATGTCACGTTTATATATGAACACTAAAGGGCGCCTTCCGTTTTTATTCCTCTTTGCTCTTGATATCCTTGTGGCTGATGTTCCTATCTTCGATGAGACTGTTTGTCTTTTCGGAGTTTTTAACCACTTTGACTGTCATCATATCTGGTGTAAAACTGAGCTTTATTGTCGAAAATTTAAAATTCTCCATACTAGACTTACTGAGCTATCTCTGTGTTACTTTATTTATTTTCATCTGTTTATTTTGTACTCATAGATGGGTACAATGATGGGTAACCCCGTGATCCAAATCTGGAATAACGGGAGTATTCGAGCCAAAACCAGTTTATTGACTTTGCGTGAAGACACTTATCATCTTACAACGCGATAAAGTGAAGTGAACTGCTCTGATCGCTGCCAAGCTTACAATATACACAGGGTAAGTGGGAGCGCATGAGATAAACAGGGGTTGGGTCTAGTCGCCGTGAAAATATTTGTGATGACTGACAAAGAACAATGGACAGCTGTTTCTTCCTGCATGAGACTCTTCAGCAGTGCTTACTTTTTGTGTCCTTGTCAGGACTCCAACCGCGAAGACTCGGGTTGGGACCTCAAACTTGATATCCTAATTGATTGAGCCATTCGCGCAAGTTGACCGTCGACTATGTACTTCAACCCCGCCCCCCTCGTCATTGTTATTGTTAATATTGTTATGGCGTTGGCACCAAGCTTGTTCTCAAATCGGTATATGAATGAACTGACAAAAGATTACCGGATAAGCATGCCTGACGAGCGGCAAGAACCGCGAAACCGGTCGTGTGCTTCCAGGGATATGTTGTCCAGTCGTTCACATACTACTTATTACGAAATATATACCCCAACTGAAGTCATTGAACCGCAGCCGCTCAAACTCACTGTGCTGATAGCACTACGTAAATTGAGCATGAATTTATCGCAAAAATTAATAGCATCCAGGACAAAGTATTGAATCCTCCGGTTATTTGTTTTTGGTGCATTTACCAACGTTCTCTTTTCTACCCGCAGCTTTCATTCTGGACGTACACGTAACGGGGCGTCTTATTTTGAGTATGAACCCGAAAATGCTGAATCGAGACCTATATGGGGATCTCAAACTGGTAAGTTCGTCGCATCTCCTGACTTGAAAGAACACTCACTCCCCATTTGTTATACTTATCATAGCAAGGGTTAAAACCTTTGAAATCCATAGAAATAACGCTAACAATAGGCTCTAAGACTTGAGGTGACTTATCTCGACTTATCTCGTCCCACAACACAAATCCAAAATTGTTCGAATTAAAACGCTATCAACAACCGAGGCAATTATCATACGCTTGGCAAAGCCAGAATTGTGTGCTAAAAACACTTGTTCACCAAAATGGGCAGCCAAAAGAGACGCACGAAAGTGCATGCTTAATAGCTGTTTTAACTACAACTACTGCACCTTCAATTTGAACAGTTTCGGATAGAAGGAAGTGTGAACTCAATACCAAAGGCATATTCCGATTGATTGAATATATATATATATATATATATATCATACCTAAGATGAAGGAAAACCTGGTCAAGAAGCTGAAGGGATACACGAATGCAACTTTTTCCGCTCCTGTGTGTCAAACTCGCATTCCCAACACAGACCATTACCAGGCCACCCATTTACGGTGAACGATCATCTTTTTAGCACATATTGTTTTATGATGAACAGCGGAAAAAATA